TGAGAGGGAAAGAGCTCAAGGCAGAGAGCTGGGCCCACCCTTCAGGGGCTTCTGTCACACAGAGGTCCAGAGGGAGACATCACTGGGGGCTAGAAAAAGAAAAGGAAAAAAAACCAAAAACAAACAGTCCTCACTTCAGGGATTTATCGCCGTAACCCAGGCATACGTGGCCCTGCCCTTGGGGACCGGGCAGAGTGTCCATGCCTGAATGCGTGGCAGGCGGTACCCTGGCTCTATACACAGGTGCAAAGGTCCTTTTAGGAGACACGGTCTGCCCACCTGTGCTCTCTGTCCACAATTTCTCAGAGGAGGAAGACGGAGCTCTGCCTCTCTGTCCTCTCTCTCTCTCTCTCTCTCTCTCTCTCTCTCTCTCTCTCTCTCTCGGTGTGTGTGTTTCTCTTTGTCTCTCTGCTCCCCCCTCTCTCCCTTCCCCTCCCCAGTAAAATTTCCTTCCCATGTAAGTTATACCCGATGGCATGTCCATGTTTGTCCCCATCATGGGATCCGCCATGGCCCACCTTATGCTGTATCATGCCTGTGGCATCTCCATTGGAAGAAACTTTTAATGCCCGTTTCTTCAGACATCGTTCTCATTCCAGTACTTAAATAGCCCTTAGAAATCACAACGGAGCTGGGTGGCGGCGGCGCACGCCTTTAATCCCAGCACTCAGGAGGCAGAGGCAGGTGGATCTCTGAGTTTGAGTCTAGCCTGGTCTACCGAGTGAGTGCCAGGAGAGCTAGGGCTGTTAACATAGAGAAACCCCGTCTCAAAAAATGAAAACGAAAATCACAAAGGATTAAAACTATGCCGAAACCAGTCTATATGACTGCTATGCTAACCCACTAAACACAATCTCTACAACCTTTCTAATAAGAGTTCAGGTCTACCGGGAAAACAGTCTCTCTCTCTCTGGCAGGTTGTTCGCAGATGACTCTCAGCAGTGTTGTAGATGGGTAGGGGTGGAAATCTGACTAATTAAGGAGACTGAACTCTGGATAAGTTGCTTTCTAATGAGGTGTAGGTCCCAGGAGACACAGAGATAAGGCTAAAAGCTTTGGAGTAGCTGATTATGCAGAAATGATAGACTACAGGGACTCTACACTACAATCTAATCTCAGTCTCATTCTGTATACATGGCCAGGAAAGCAAGTGTGACAGACACCCGTATGGAGAAAATGGCTAGAGTAGAGATTCTCTCCTGGAAATAGTCCACAAGAAAGGCTTAGCCTTCAACCTTCCAAGCGAGCCCCAACCTTCCTAGGGCGAAGCTAGGAAATAGAACCGCATTGAAAGAATGACAACTAATTATTACTGGGCACGTCCTTGGTGACAAGGGATCAATAGTATTTTATCACTGAGAACTTATTTGCTCTGGGTACATCTTAGAATTGTGGATTTGTCTGGAAAGACTTGGTTATTTTGAAGAATTCTAAGTTAACAGAATAGTGGATTTAATTACACATTAGGGAATCCTACTGTTGAGTACTTAGCTGGGCACAGCAGTGCACGCCTTTAATCCCAGCAGTCTGGAGGCAGAGGCAGGTGGATCTCTGTGAGTTCAAGGTCAACCTGGTCTGTACAGCAAGTTCCAAGCCTGGCAAACGGCATTCTTGCTCAGGTTTTAAGGACGTGAGCCTGAATCCCTAGGACCCACATAACGGTGGGTATGGTGATGATCACATCTGTATCCATGACAAGGTCAGATGTAGACGGGAGAATCTCTAGAAGCCCATGGGCCAGTGAGCCCAGCAGCAGGGAACAAAAGACTCGTGTGTGTGTGCGTGTGTGTGTGCGCATGTGTGTGCGCGCGTGCACGCGTGTGCGTGTGTGTATGTGTGCAGTGTGTGTGTGTGCGAGTGTGTGTGAGTGTGTGCATGTGCAGTGTGTGTGTATGTGTGTGTGTGTGTGTGCGCGCGCACGCGTGTGCGTGTGTGTATGTGCAGTGTGTGTGTGAGTGTGTGCGAGTGTGTGCATGTGCAGTGTGTGTGTATGTGTGTGTGAGTGTGAGTGTGAGTGTGTAGGAGGTACAGCAAGTCTGGGTTCTATCAGTGATAACCTCATGTGTATGAGCACGGTATTTTCATCACAGCTTGAAACATTTTAAATTTTTTATACTCTACATGTACTGGTCTAATAAAATAATTTAAAATACACATTTTATGGAAAATCCTTGACTTTCTGTCATATGAAGAGACCTACTTATGATCACCCATCATAGCAAATTTGATAGCCATGATGTGAGAAGAGATGGGTGAACTGAAGATTTTTTATAAAAAGGACTCCCTCTTCAATTCTCTTATTGTATGATGCTATGACTTACTGAGATGTATTTACTTACCTTCATGTCATTTCAACTGTCTGTTAAAGACACTGTCATGACTTCTTCTTGGTGGAGACACATCAAGTCTCCCCATGAGTATCAGATGGCAGAGGTTGAAATGTACATCATTAAATAAACCCACATAGCATAAAGGATTTGAGGGACCTTTGCATAATAAACTGTTTCTCTTCCACCAGAAAGGGTCAAGCTTAATGGATTTTAGGGTAACCACGACACATACAAAAAAATGGGATCTTACAAAGTAAGCAGCCATTTTACAATGCCCACGTTCACACTGCCTTAAGAAAAATAAATCAAGGAAAATCATTTTCTTTCTTCTTGGAGCATTCAGTTTCAGCAGACTCTGAGAGCAAACCCATGTCATTTCTTTCAAAACTCCATATTTAAGTCACGACTTCTGGGAATGGCTCACGTCCTTTCATTTAAGGTTGATCTTTAAAAGTCTAACTTTTGAAAAGAGTGAAAAATCACTTGGCACATGTAACTGCTATGTATTTAGAGCAGAGTCAATTAGATCTGGAGGTTGAAAACATCTAAGTGTGGGGTCTGGGGTGATGGCTCATTAGGTAAAGTGCCTGCTGTCTAGCATGAAGACAACAGTTTGGTTCTCCAGGGCTCACATGAGGACAGGCATGGCAGTGTGCGCCTGACACCCCAGCATTGGGGAGGCCCCGGGGCTTGCGGCTAGCTGTCTTAGTCCTGTTCTATTGCTGTGAAGAGGCACCACGACCAAGGCAATTTCCCGTAAGAAAACTTTTCAGTGGGGGCCTGCTTACAGTTTCAGAGGGTCAGTCTGTTACCATCACGGCGGACAGTGTGCTGGAGAAGTGGCTGACAGCTATGACCTGATCTACAGGCTGAGGGAGAGAGCCTGGGACTGACGCGAGCTTTTGAAACCCCAGAGCCCACCCCCAGTGACATACGTCCTCCAAGAAGGCCACACCCACTCCAAGAAGGCCACGCCTCCTAGTCCTTCTAATCCTTTCAAATAGTGCCGCTACGTGACGGCCAAACCGCCAAGCCCTTCAGACTTCTTTCCATGAAGTTCCTGAGTCTTCAAAATACACACTGGCTGACGTCGTCGCTCCCTTCAAACCCTTCACGGGCACACCGAGCGAGCTCGGAGTCCAGACCCTGCGCCATCTCAGTGACTGCTATCAGTCACACACTGCCTTCACCTCCAAACACGTCAGTTTTACTCACTCTGCCCCAACGAGTGTCCCATGAGCACCTTGTGCGTGCAGAGAGTAGCACATCTGCCTCCGGAACAGACTTCAGCTCTGTGGCTCTCACCCAGCCAGAGCTTTGGGGGGGGGTAGTGGGGTGGGGGGGGAGCACTCCGTTCTTGCACTGGGTGCTGTACAGCTCCCAGCTGAACTTCTTGTCTTAAGTATCAGGACTTTCCCAGCAAAAAAGAACACTCATGGCAGTATCTCACATTTCTTTTTCCTTGGTTGATCTGGGACAGGGTCTCACTATGTCACCCAGACAGGCCTGGAACTTGCTATGTAGACAAAGCTGGCCTTGAGTTCACAGAGATCCACTTGCCTCTGCCTCCCCAGTACTGGGACTGAAGGCGTGCACCACTATGCCTGACTATTTTATATTTCTTCACAGTACCATCAGTACTAATTTTAAATGTGTACACACATCACACACAGACACACAAAGGCACACACACACACATACACCAATTTATAGTTTGTCTCAACACATATGTAAAGAACACAATGATAAGGACTTTGTTTTGTTCACCAATGAAATCCCAGTGTCAAGAATAATGTTTAAGGAAAGTCATGTACAGCCCTTTTGTCCCAGACAGCTCTGTTAGCTGTTGACTATGAACTTAGGCCCAATTACTTAAGCAAGTAGCTCATGGGTGCTTAAGCAACCCTGGAAAACATAGCATGTGTTTATAAATATGTGTGTATTTCATATACTTATGTTTATTTATATATGCTTGTATTTGTGAATTTCTATATCAAGGGGCTGGGCTGTAGCCAGTTGCGAGGCCTTGGGTTTGTTCCCTAGCACTGACAAAAAATAATAATGCAACGCCAAGCTAGAAAAGAAGCTCTCAGTTCAGGTTTGGTGCTCGGAAACATGAAAGAGATTCTTTGCAGCATGTGTAGCTTTTGTCTTGTCAAAACTGGCTTAGCCTTTGAGCACACATGTTGCACGTACAGGCAAAAATACTCATGCATATAAAAATAAAGATCAATCAGTTCTGAATTTCAGGTAGTAAGGACTGTGTGTGGGTTGTGGTTGTGTCGAGTTTTGTTTTGCTTCATTTTGTTTTCTGCAGGGCTGGGGATCGAACCCAGGGCTTCACACAGGCTAGGGTAATGCTCTACCCCTGAGCAACAGCCCCAGCCGCAGTAAGTTAGTTTGACTTGACACAAGTAGAGTGGTTTGAAAACCATGTTCTGTCCTTTCTGGCTGAGTCCCCCAGGACAACAATTTCCCATTATCAGCTTTAGTTTGCAATTATGTGTCATCATGTGTGTCTCATAGCCGATCATGTCAAAATATCATTCGTAGTTAGGCTGGAATTAATTCTTTTCTGAGCACTACATAAAATGCACTATGCCAATTAAATGATGATTTTCCCTCATTAGCGAACAATAGCTTGCTGTACACAAACCTTCAAGTACTTACGTCGATTAAGTCCGAGAGATCGTGAATATAATACTTGAACACCGAGGCATTGGTTGCCTCGAGTGTTAGGAGATATTCGTTCCGTGCTTTAATCGACTTCAGCTTATTTTCTGAGTATTTGGCTTGTCTCTGATAACGAAAAAGATGCAGGCGTCAGGAAGGAAGGCAATGTCGTTTTGATTAGACAGAGACACACTTGGGTTTTCATTAATCTCAGCATTTTATTCCACGTATAAAAACGATCCTCCAGGGACTCTGTGGAACGTACATTTTGAGCGCGACTTAAATTAACAGGCTAAAGCTCCCCGGCTCTGGGAATAACAACGTATTTGGGCTCGGGGCCCATTTTCACTGAACTCTTTGTTAATATTCTAGTTCTCCGGAATACTTGGCATTCACCACGAAATGATGTCCAGCTGTTATGACATAATTTTATGTGTCTTAAACATCCTACATCCCCTTAGGAGGAAATGCATGTCTTTTCACAGTAATTCACTATGTGGGTCTATTCCTGGTGTATCAGCGCTCTGTAGGAGTGTCTCGTCTCCTCAGGTGAGGAACACAGGGATCTGCAACGTATTCTTTTAAACCTACCTTTTCCTTCATTTTTTCAATTTTCTTTACAGAGCTACGCCGCTGGTGTCTCTCTTCTAGTCTTATGTGGAAGACAGGATCGCCGGACCGCCCAATTTGTTTCTCCTCTTGCTTCTCGGCTTCCTTGAGTTTGCTCTCTGCAGTGACGCTCTCCGCGTGATACATGTGGTATGTCTTCATCACCTGCGAAAAGTGACCCAGATTGTTAGACAGCATCCCCTGCAGCTTTCCCAGTGAACAGGACCCGCAGTACGGTGTGCATGTTAAAAAAGGTTGGGGGGTAAATCCAGACTGCTAGGAAAGCAGATGAATTTTGGCTCCTGCTTCTGTATAAATCAAAACAAATATGCAAATTTACCTGCTGGGAAGAGGCGCTCAGGGCCCAGTTTCTGATTTAAAAATGTGACTTACAGAGGCTAATGTGTGCTTTTCTACGTATGTAAAGTTCTCTTACGTGCGAAAGTGTGCTTCCCACATCTCCTCTATATTATGGATTGGCAGCATAGGCTATCTATTCTTGGACATGTTTTTGCTGAGCCAGAATTCCACATTAGTACAAGCTTCACTTAGAGGACTTCTATAGAACAAAATCTATAGAAAAATCTGTCAAAATACCGACATCAACATTAAGGTTCATACAGAGAGAGGCTTAGTATAAAAATGGTTTCTCTGACCACTAATACTTTATATTCAGTATAGAAAAACAAATGATACAAAAAGAAGATTACAAAACAAACAGAAACCAATGATCTGGCATATAGTCAAGCCTTTTCCTTATGAACATACATACTCACACCCTGCATTTTAAAACACCACATTATTCCTCCTGTTAGAATTTGGGATCAACAAACCTGAATAATTTTAATGGATTTTAAAATAAATATATTGTGTTGTAGTATTTGTTAGAATGGGTGTGGACATGTACGCAGGGGTGTGTGTGTGTGTGTGTGTGCCTGTGTGTGTGCCTGTGGGCGTGTGTGTGTGTGTGTGTGTGTGTGTGTGTGTGTGTGTGTGTGTGTGTGTAGGACAGGGTTGGGTGTTTTCCCCTTACAGGCTTCTTACCCTTATGCTTTTGAGACAGGGCCTCTTACCAAACTTCGTATTTGGTGATCTGGCTAGCCTGCCTGCCTATGTGTTTCAGGGATCACTCCTTGCAACGCTGGATTTCCAGGCATTCCCTTCCATGGACAGCCTCTTAAATTTTACATGGGTTCTTAGGGTCTGAGCTCAGGTCTTCCCTGACTGAGTCATCTCTCCATCTGAATCACCAAATGTTCTTCTAAAATGTATGTTTGAGGCTGTGCATAGTCCCTGTGCCATACTTGACTACCTTGGTACTTGCTACTGCTGGCTGTGTTAGGATTGGGTTATACCAACAGCCTTCCTGTGTACACTTCTTACTTCTTTCCTTGGGAACAACATATACAATTAATCTGTTAGTGGAATTTAGGAATACATCGAACATCAAAAGTTTTATAGTACATCTTTTCTGTGGATATGATAAACTCACATAATAAATCTTCAGTTATTAAAAACTTTGGGTATGTTATTGCCACAAGAATTTCATGAACACACCTGTGTCACCTAGGACAGTTTCCCTAAAGTTAAACTGTAGTGTTAGGAAAATCATGTACATGTCTTTGAGTGACTTTGAAAGACACTGCTAAGTTTATACTCTTTATTAAAAAAAAAAAAAAAAAAAAAGCAAGCTGATTTATAATCTCTCAAAGTACTCCAAATAACTAGCCTAGATATTTAATAAATATCTTTCTGGATAATAAAGCTATGTTATTCTTTAAGTTAATTAAAAACATTATGTGTTGTGTCTGTGCGGCTGCGCCCAGGAGATTGGAGGCATTGAATCTTGCTGGCACTGGAGTTAGAGCAGGCGCAAGCTCCCTTTCACGGGGGCTGAGAACCGAACCTGGGTCCTTGGCAAGAACTGTGATTGTTTTCAACTGCTGAGCTGTCTCCAATCTTAGTGCTCATTGCTCTTATAAAATCTATTTATAATCTCCATGCTCCTACCCATAGAGGAATAGTAGTAGTCACGTTTTAAGAAATTTCCCCCGAAAATGACAGCTTTCCCCATGATTTTAATGCTGCACACAGGGTTAGGTATCTGGGGAAACTCGGAAGACTCGTCCTTTGTGTTCAGCCCCATTTGCTAAGGGAGACGGTACGCTAGGCATGACGCTGCAACACAACCCACAATGTCTGCATTTGCAGAAGGTGGATGTTATTTCACTCACTAATAACCAACATGTCCAGAGTCAATTTCGTAACTAAGCTGTAGCTGTTCAGAAGTCGAGGTAAAAGTAATGTTTTAATGTAATAAACTTCCCTTTCCTCATTTGGAAAGATGAGCTTTAAAATAGACTGAAGCCTGGATGTATCATTAGAGTAAGCGAACTCGTTTAAGCTAAGCCACACAAACCTGCTATTTCTCTAGGCTGGAAGTAAAAGTAGCAAGCCAACACTCCATTGAGGTCCATCAGTGCCCCCTCTGGGGGTGGGGCGGGTTACTGTCTGGGAGAGTAAAACCTGGGGCCAGTGAGGATTCTTGCTTTCAGTCAGTACCGAGTAAATAAATCAGAATAAAGCTTAACTACCAAGCAGTGGTAAGTAACTTTGTGGAGCCCCATGCCACTGGAAAGTTGTCTGTTTATAGTAATTACTGGACCTGGAGGATGTCTGGCTGACCACTGTAGTTTAAAAGCAAAGAAAATAGCATTAGGAAGCAGCTGGGCAGCTGGGCAATGAAAAGGGAGTCACCGCGCAGCTGGGCAAACAGAGAAGTCAATGAATCCAATACACACCTTGAGTTTCAAGGCTGGGCTCTGTTTACATTCCCCGCCTGGAGCAAACCCACATAGCATCTAGGTGCCAGTTACATCTTAAGATGGCAGGGGAAGAATAATTCCACACACGGACACACACTCCACTCTCACAATTGCTTAGCTCTCTACTTTCCCTGCTAATACAAAGTTAGAAATAGCAACACCCGCCCCGGCTGGATGGATAAATGGCCAGCTCAGCCTGCACTGGGCTTCTGAGAATTTCTGTTTAATGCACCACACTAAGAAAGAGACACATCTTTGGAAGTCTTGTGTTACTTGATTACTGAGGGCCAGATTAAGCACGTTTAATTTGTACAAACTTAAGCCTAGTGTACAAGAAAGTAGAGTGAGCCTAGTTCTAGCAGGGTGTGCTAAAGGAGAACACTTGAGTCTGAACTATAAGATAGTATGAGTGTGTGTGGGTATCTCACCATCATGGAGGCTTGGTATGATAGCTCAGGGTTATGTTACCTAGTTCAATAAACAACTTTGTTTGGCTTTCCAGGTCCACTCAGGATTTCCATTCTTGAGTCTTAAGGGTTAGGGTGAATGGTTTTGTTTTTTGTTTTTTGTTTTTTTTTTTTTTTTCCCCAAGACAGAGCTTCTCTGTATAGCTTTGGAGCTTGTCCTGGCATTCACTCTGAAGCCCAGGCTGGCCTCAAACTCACTTAGATCCACCTGCCTCTGCCTTCTGAGTGCGGGTTTAAAGGTGTGCGCCACCACTGCCTGCTAAGTGGTGAATGGTTTTCAAAGCCCCCTTTGAGAACTCTAATTGCAGATAATGAACACAGGTACACATTGCATGACTCAAAATGGAAGTTGATGGAAGTCAAATGTGCTTGTAGTTAAAACAGCCCTACTGCTTTCCAGACAGAAAATAAAAGAACTTTTATATTTTTGAGTTGCAATTGGAATAGCCACAGCAAGGTAAGCATCAACATTTCCTTCGGCTAACGCAAACATACCCTTTGCATACCAAATGACCCGGTGGGCATATATCTACTTAAAAGTAGTCTCATGGCACATTCCCCTACTTGAATTATTTTCTGCTAGAAGTTGATGCAGAATTCTCGAATCAGCAAACTCGAATTATCATTCCCAAACTGTAGGGGAAAAACAGTCCGGTAGACTTCTGTCCTGACTTGTGGATAAGTGTGTGTCTGCTGTGTGTGAGCGTGCATGGCCCGTGCCTGTGCAGATGGATCTGTGGAGACCAGAGGATCGCAAACATCCTCTTCTCTTACTTCTCAACTCACTTCCTTGAGACGGGGCTTGCACAGACCCTGGAACTGGACTGGAAGGCAGCCAGCCCCAGCCATCCTTCTGTCTCCGTTCTCCCACAGGGTCAGGGTTACAGGCGCATGCGTGAACAATCATACCTGAGCTCTTACGTCGTCCTGGAGATTTTTCCTTGGGCCTTAGCCACTGAGCCAACTCCTTAGGCCCACATAATGTATAGTTTTCTGAGCCTGGGATGTTTTACATCCTAAACTTTGCATAGATATTGTTGGGTTTTGTTTTGTTTTTGTTTTCTCATTGAAAGGCCAGGACACTTAACTGACACCACCCTTGCGTATTTTAATTTAACTGACACCACCCTTGTCATAGTAGTTAAACCACCTGAAAGCGACGTGCATGTTGGAGAAGACCATTGGATTGAAGCTATAGTTTCAACTCTTTGGCTTGTGGCTCAGAAGTTAGAGACACAAATAGGAACAATGGATATCAATTAATTACTCAGGTTGGAGATTACTAAAATACCCTTCTGATCACCTTGCAGAGTTATTGTGGATTCCACATTGTGTGTCAACGATTATTAAACCTTACTGAATATATGTGTCTACCTATGTTTACGACATACACGCCATCAATTCTGATACGTGCACATACACATATATGCATTTAGCCTATTAAGCACTACCTTCAAGATAGTGTTCTAAGTGCCTTGCTAATTCTTCTAGTCACTTTGAGAGCTATATTAGTTCCCCCCCCCCTAACATTTCGACCCATGCTCTAAGGTCAACTTAAATCCCCTTTCCTGTTCTATGGGTAGAAAAATCTTTTTCTTCCAACTATCTCGACTTACTGATTGATGGTGTTCACACTGCCTGCCGTGAGTTACAGATTCCGTGTGCACCCCGTATCATGGCTTATCTTGTCAAATCGAGCAGGACTCCAACAAGAGAGTCCTGTGTGCCTCCCGCGCCTCACTTTTACTTCAGACACAAGGTAGATAACGGAGACGTCCGAAGACGAACATGGAAGGAGGAGAGCTCATTTCGCAGCTTGCTCTTTTATTTAACAAGCACTCACTAAATGCCTGTGATATGCCTGGCACCTTTT